AAATTATAAATGCCAGTTAATTCGATCGAATTGATTATATAATATTTATTTATTTATTCTTTATTGTACACACTGATAGTACATACAAATATATTTTTTTATACAACTTAGAATGACAAACAAGCTGACGGCCCACCTGATGGAAAGTGGTAACCGTCGCCTATAGACATAGGCAGTACCATGGCCAAAACAGAGTATACTGTTTCGCCCATGATACGTTGCCATTTCTGAGGACTCAGGTGTTATTCCTCTGTACCCAGTAAATTCACGCCATATCCCACCCTTCAAATCGAAACACAGCCAATATGACAGAGGTAAGTAAATGTACAAAGGCAAGCTTAACTCGAAAAGAGTTCTCTTCCAGCAAACCCTAATTGGAAAAAAGCATAATATATTTTCGATAAAGGTATGGTGTTTTTTTATGCAACTTAGAATGGCAAACAAGCTGACAGCCCACCTAATGGAAAGTGATAAGTGTCGCTTACTTATGAATGATGATGGACATAACATTGTATACTGTCTGTATGTATATTCTATGTTCGTAGAAGCTCAGCTTAGTAGCTCTGATAGGCACCGATTTATTGCGACCGTGAAATTGCACGTGACTAGAATTTAATATAGACCTATTACTGGTAGCTTTTCTCTCAAATTCCTCTGCAAACATTATTTTATATTTTAAAGATGATTTTGTGTATTTCTAGAATAAAACACGCATAAAAGTTTTTGGATATCCCTATTTTTTCTAATTTATTTACACATTAAGGCAAATAGCAAATTCAACAAAAATTTAATAGTTAAAGTTAGAATATACTACAATAAAACTATTTCTCGTGAATGACGTAAGAAGCGACAAAGAGAACGTAATGGTCGAGAGATAGGCAACAGTGTACCGCTTCAAACATCATCTAGCTAACTGCGGTAACCAACTCGCCTGCCAAGCATGGCAACTAATGGCTAAACCTCCCTTAAGGGGAAGCCCTATGTTCAGCAGTGGACAGTTAAAGGATGCTTCGTCATAACGATAATAAGATACGTGCGCCAGTTACAGGTAAGCACAACATTCGCCATTAAAAAAATTCGACAGAAAATTTATTGAATGATGACCTATGGCAATTCTATCTATAGTTATACTTTTTACAAAAAAAAAAACTTAAACTTTTGTCTCAGTAAATTCATAAAATGTAGTATGAAAATATTAAGAAGTCACAAAATCATAATAAAGGTATCGGAAGAGATATAAAAAAAAATTATATTTGAAAATCTTTTTCAATCGAATTCAAAAGAAGAGGGGGTTCTCAATTTAGTGTATTTTTTTTTACCAATATGGAAAATGATCTTAAAGAATTGGTTTCATAGAAATTTATTCAAAATCGATTTAATAGTTTTGAATCAAAATAACTTTTTTACTACAATTAAATTCGATGTTAATTTGTGGTATTATTTTTTTATAGAAATAAAATTTCAAAATTAATTATTTAAAAAAGGAAAACCACTCCCAAAATTATATATTAAATTAAAATAGTTTCTGTTTAAATAATGCGTCTATTTTCCAAGAAATCCATTACCAATTTCCGAAATGACTGATGATATTGCCCTATAATTTAATGTGAAACTTACTCCTTTCCAGTTAAATTATTTAAGGCCATAATTTGGTAATGACAGAGCCCACGCGAGCTCCTTTAAATTTGAATAAACAAAACATTTCTTATTCGTGCCTAGATAATGATCTAAACTAAATCATATAATTATTAGGATTTTTTTATACGTTTGATTGTTGGGCACATAATTACGCTAAAGACAGAAGTCACGCCGATTGTTTGTTTGTGTTTCATAGTTAAGGCTCAAATACATTTAACTTATCTACTATTGACTCGATTGAAGAAATAAGGCTTAAAATGGATTGAAATTTAACTTGACTTGTATTTGTTTTAATTTATTATTTTATTAACTGTAATCTTCTAGTAAAACAATAATTTCTTTTTTGTTTTTGTTCCTTATTTTTCATCATGTTTATTATGTTTGTAGCTTAATATTGTTAATTCTGCATCTACAAATACAAAGTATTAGTTCTTGTGTGTTGGAAGGAACTGGCTTACAAGGCACAGGTTACCCTAATTTGTATACTAGGGCAAAAAACATGTAACTGTGCAACCCTGTATATAAAGTTTTATTATTATTATTAAATAAAAAAGGGCGTAGACTACTTTTTATGTCAGTCAGTTAATTCGTTCTGGTAAATTACGTTACGAGATATAGCTAAATAAATCCATATAATTATTGAAATTGTTACTTAATTATAATTATAACAGAAATAATGTTTATTTTTGATTCTTCCTCTTGGATTGGCTAAAATTTAAATTGCCATGTTGAATTGTAAAAAAAACATAACCTATTACAGATAATGGAGTCTAAGATGGAACCATCTTTTCCAGCAATGTCCTATCAAGTCGTTTATCTATATATGTATCTATTATAAATATCGTGGTTGAATTCCCATAACACAATCTCGTCACGATGGGCTAACTGAATCTGTGTGATCGTCACCTATCATCCATCACTTATTATTATTATTATTTTTGACTTCCTCTTGATGACGAAGACGGGGTTTGCCATTTGAATTTGAAAAAAAAAATATGTCTGCCCAATTTACACGTAACGGGATATATGTACCTAAATTCATGAAATGCATTCTTTTCTCCTGCGATACCAAAGATATTTTATAAATTAAATTACACAATAATAACACATTTTTTATATCAACAAAACCTGATACTTTGTGGCCAATAAGTCTTGTATGATTCTCGTACTGTATAGATAAGTATCATTCTGAACTGTTATAAAGATTGATTAGAGCAATAAACAAGTCCAAACGAGTATAAATGTATCATAACTGTTATTAGATACCACTATAATAGTATTTATTGCTTATAAATTGACACAAAATAGAATTAATTAACAACAAGATTTACAGTACAATAAATATAAACTTAAGTATAAACGGTTTTTTTTTTTTTTTTTTTTAATTTTTTTTTTAATTTTTTTTTATTGGTCAAAACGTAACAATTTTTTTTTGTTTTTGTTTTTTTAACGTTGTGTTTTTTTTTTTTTTTTTTTTTTTTTTTTTTTTTTTTTTTTTTTCCACATATATTTTTTATAGTTTTGTGTATATATAAAATTTGATACTGCGATTTATTATATAAAACTGGAAATTGAGATTAATATCTATACCATGTATAACTGAAAACTGCGAATTATACATATTTAAATTTAGTAGCTAAGATTTAATATTGAACATATATTGTTATTATTTTTAGTATAAACGGTTATAGGGAGACTAAGAGAACTGAATGGTCGAGACATGAGCAGCGACGTTTCTCTTAAAACAATAACAAAAGCCAAAGTGCGGTGGCCAATCCATCTGCCAAGTGTAACAACTGCTGGCAAACTCATCAATAGGGATAGCCCATAATATTTCTAATAGATTCTAACGTTTTCAATCAACACATAACAGGTATATTGTTTTTTTATACAACTTAGAATGGCATACAAGCTGACGGCCCACCTGATGTAAAGTGGTAACCGTCGCCTATAGACATGAGCAGTACCATGGACATAACAGAGTATACTGTTTCGCCCATGATACCCCCTATGCGTTGCCATTCCTGAGGACTCAGGTGTTATTCCTGTGTACCCAGTAAATTCACGCCATATCCCACCCTTCAAACCAAAACACAGCCATGCAAACACAACTGCTTCACGGTTGAAACACGAATGGGACAGAGGTACCCAAGCAATCGACTTTTGTACAAAGTCTCCCTCTGGTAAATATTAGACTATATATATGATTATATTCCATATAAATATACATATATTATCATTTACTAATTATATTAATAGACGTTCAATGAATTATTGTTGGAGTAGTTACAACATTACCATATTTATCAACCAAACTACCAAACTGTGGTTGCCAATCCGCCTTCCAAACATGACAACTACTGGAAAAATCCCCCCAATTCAACCTTTAAATTCCAAATTTACTAAACCAAGTGTTAATTTGCGGAATTCCACATTACTAATAATGTAATTAAAAGTATTCTGTTTAAAAGAATTATTAGTTTTTTTTTTACATGATTTATTACGAAATTGATCTATGACAAACTATACAATCGATACCTTCGCTTGAGATCTGAAAACCTCCTTTACGTCGTATGTAAGGACGTCCTTTTTTATACTAATAGATGATGACAAACAAACATACTGCCTATCTGGTGATAAACGGCCTTAGACTATATGGTGCCCCAGGGCAAAATTTTTTATTAGCACCATAAAATAAAGGTCATCAGGGATGTCGAATGTGCCGCCCTCTTACATTCCTATAACAGTAAATACCAGCAAACACTGCACGAACAATTTACAAGCGATTGCTTTAAACTTAATCGTCAATTTTTTTTTATATAATATAAGCAGTTCTCCTGATGATAAATGAGGAATAGCAGGCCCTTTATGAAGGAATGTGTTCTTTTCTTCGAGATTTCTGTGTCATATCTGTTCGAAAATATTGCTGCTGGAAGCTGATTTTATAGTTTGGTTGTGTGTAGAAAAAAATATCTTTAGAAGCATACGATAAAGGACCAAATATTCATAATAAATTTTAATGGTATTAACACGATTATCTAATAGAAATCGCATATGCATTAATTATATACATATTTTGCGATTACAGCACCATTTGTGATTTAATGACAAAAGACAGTACTAATTTATTATGATAATTTTGAACTCTAATTTGCTTGGCAGAGTGTATATAATTCAACGAAAAGAAGTCTGACAGCAAATATCGTGCAGTTTTCCACTATCGCAACTATTTAATGCGTAGCTCCTGGCCCCCTTTGGATCTCAATGTCCTTGATCGCCACATAGACTCTCTTAAACCAATATTAATACTATACATAGTAAACCACCAAACCTATAAGTAGTAATACATAAAATAAACTTACCGATAGCTCAGTGGCGCCCTCAAATTTCTAGAAGAGCTTCTCTCCACAACTACTCGTCTCTTATCCCCCTCCCTCGAACTCCCGTAGCTTCTAGCAAACGTCACAGCACCACACTCACTATTATTCACATAATCAACTGTCACATCCAAATCGTTTGTTAATGAATCGTTAACTGAACTCGATTCGTTGTAATCTAGTGAACTATTGGAAATATTTTCAAATATGGAATGGTTTGCCGGCTCATAAATACCGTTGTGTTTCGGACTAGAATATATATAGACTCGATTCAATTCGGAATCGTTCTCAGTTTTTAATTTTAAACTCGCATGTGTAGTGTTTGTGTCGTAGTAGTCTTCCAGCGTCGTATACCACGCCTCCAGTATAGCTATGTGCGTGTCTAGGTCGCGGCACGTCAAACGGAATCTGTAATCGTGGCATCGTTGCTCCTCCACGATTTCTGGAACAAATTACAATAGTTACTTAAATTATACAGATATAGACATCGAGTGTCAAAATTTTGTCAGCTTGCCTAACTTATTTTAACACATACTTGTTTTAATCAAAACAAAAAGCGCTTTTTTGCATTGTTGCAAGTAATTGCATTAAAAATTTCCCAGATTTGATCACATTTTTTAATTTTAATTCGAAACCTATATATATATAATCACTTACCATCAGATGAATTGCATTCTCGTTTGCCTCCTAATTTATATAAAAAAAAATAGTACTAGTCTTTGTAAAACAATCTAAAGAAACTTTTATATCTTAGCTACCTAACTTGTATACATTTTTAATTATACATTAGCAAGAAACGCGAAAATACCACATAATCCAACATCGGAATTCTGGGTACCAATCTAATTACTTTGACTTTATTACACAATCTAGGATTTCATTTCGCAGAATACCCACCTATTTTAAATTACTTTCGGAATTGAGAAATGGATTTACTAATTTAGTGGCTTTATAGATTTTTATGACTTAACTACCTTTTTGCTTGCTACTTCACTGGCATCCATTAGTCCTATTAAGACCTTTATTTTTATATTTTCATAAATATCTTCCATGTAAAGACCTGACTTAGTTACAATTTTATTACATTAGTAAGATTAGATAAATTGTTAGGTATATTAATATAAACATCCATTCTCAATGCATTTATATTTTTTGTATATATATATTTCACTATTACATGTAACGTCAATTCTCGACCGATCTTTTTTTGTTGCTGTCAATATACTTACTCCCATGTCGATTCCATATCGAAATAATTCAGAAGCCAGTGTTCTCAGCAATAAATCTGCTTGTTGCGATGCTAAATCCACATGCAGATATAAATTTTCTTATTCTAAATTTAAACATGAACAATTAAAATAATTCGATCAAAACCGTTGTTTTTTGTAGAGTTTTACGTTAAATGCTTGTTAAATTTGAGAAATCAAAAATTTGTAGAATAGGTTAGAAATAATCTTTATTCAAATAGACTTGTTTGTGAACTATTTTTAATTGTTAATTTTTTTAGATTGTACTACTGAATTCGGGATGTTATCTGCAAGAAACTCAACAGTTACTCTTTTTAAATTGTTATTATTTAATTTGTCTGAATAAATTAAAACGTAACTCCCATATTACATGCCAGGTGGGTATCAAACAAGCGTAAAAAATATCCTGATATGATATTGTGTTTCTTAAATAATTCAACAAGGCAGCATTCACTCACGGAGCTCATTGTAAATGCATACGATATACGTTTGGACGATTCCTTCATTTCAAAACGTTTGCCCCGCACATTGTTGTGAGGATTACGTATTATATTATTAAAAGGAACAAACGAAACTTACTAGAATACTAAAGCATTACAAACATCCTACGCCGTGTTACCTGCCTCTTTCTTTTCAATTAATAACTAAATGCAATAATGTTTCGCTTTACATACATTTAACATTAACATCTGCATTCCATCTCTTTGACTACGTTAATTGCGGAAAAGTTATACATATATGTTGCCGTTTGGTCCCGGCATAGAATAGGCCACCCCTTCCTTTCCCCTGGGTGTCGTGACTGGCGACTAAGGGAAGGCAATGGTTGAGCAGCAGCATCCCTCTTAAAACATCTCTAAAACCTAACTTCGATTACTAATCTGCCTGCTAAACGTGGCAACTACAGATAAAACCCCCCAAAGGGAAGCCTTATGTTCAGCAGTGGACAGTTAAAGGCTGATATGATGATGATGATGAAGTTATATAAAAATAAAATATTATCTACCTTACTATATATCAAATTTGATTCAAATCCATTCTGCCGTGTAAGCGTGATTAAATAAAAAAAATTTAAACATCTTTACAAATTTTCTCAAAAATATTATTGGAATGGGCAACGACGTAAAAGAAAAGAAAGATGCTTCAAGCATTTGAAATGTGGACATGGAGGAGAGTTGAAAGGATAACCTGGACAGAAAAAGTAACGAACGAGGAAGTCCAAAAGGGTGAATGAGAAAAGAATATTAATAAAAACAACAGAGAATAGAAAAGGTAAAATGCTGGAACACCTTATACGACATGACGACTTTTTAAAAAGCATACTTGAATAGAAAATAGAAGGCAAGAAAGGAAGGGGAAGACAGAGAATTAACTACATGGGACAGTTAAGGAAGCAATAAGTGTCATATCGTATGGGGGGGGGACAAAGATATGGCCTGAAATAGAGCTGACTGAAAGAGAAGGCATGAATTAGTTGCCCCGACAAAAGAAAACTCATAAATGAAAAAGAGATTAGTGGAATTGGTATAATAGAGGTCATTGTATCCTGCGACTATGCCAGCGTCAATTAGTATAAAAACAAAGCCTATGTGTCTCTCTATATGATTAAGTAGGAAACATTCAAAGATCTTTACAATATTTCACGTGTATAATCCTAAAATTTTATGTCTACATTTTTAAATTTTAAGTAAACTCTCATATAAAACAATTTAAGACAACAAAAAAACAGGCTACCACGACAAGTTACCCTAAAGTTTGGCTTCAAAATAAATCCATTTGTATTCTGGAACATTACACTATAATAGCAGCAAGGGGGCGCACTAGGTAATAATCAAAAAGCTATTCTAGCCAAGTCCGAACTCATTATTATGCTTGCTAGCACTTTTTATCCGACTTCAAAAAAAGAATAATGAGTTGTACCGTTTTTCTATTAAGCGTCTTCCGAAATAAGACAGTTCTAAGATCTCGAGATTTTTTGTGTTTAAAATATCTTCGCTATTTCTACACCAATTTTGACGATTCTTTATACAATAATAAGTGTCACACAATCACACCAATTTCCTGGTTCTAAAACTATGATATCCTATATTAGGGATATCAAACAAAGAAAATCTCTGGACACAATCCAGAATCGAACCAACTTAGAAAAGTTCATTTCCCATATTGGCCTGATCAAGAATCGAATTCGAGATCTCGCTTATGCAAACCAGTATAATTATCACTGCACCACGTACGTCATCAAAGTGCGTTTTTTTTGTAACACATGGAACAAACGAGCATGCAGCCTGATGGTAAGTTACTATGAGTACCCCATGAGAGCCAATTAGCGGAGATCAGCACAATTCAGCAATGTAATATAAAGAAAACAGAAAGCCTTCTGACCAGAAAAATAATAACAGACTTGAGAGCGTGAGAGTGTGAATTATTAGAAAAAAAATCTCAATCGACTCAAATATACAAGGTGAAACAAAAATTATTAGCACCCTTTTAAGGAAATGTTCTACTAAACTGAATATTTTCACCAAAGAAACATGGACCGAAAAACGACAATTTTGAGTGTCCCATAAAAACACAGCGCATCCTGCTGTTGATTTATTATGGAATCCTGGCCTCCCATATTATTTTAATTTATGAATAACGAAATTTCTGTTCTAATATATCCTATATCGTAAATAGATTCTTAGTGGTTATTTGATTAGGATTATTTTATTTAATTCCGCTACCATTAGTATTTGAGTCCCTAATAGGAGACAGGCGTGACAGATATGTATGTATGTATGTAGTATTTGTGTGATTACTAACACTCGAAAATTGGTCTTCACTAGTAGTACCAGAAATTCCACAACCTTCTATATTAGGCATCAATCTCCGACTATCATTTTGTTCACACATGTTTTGCGCCACATGTTTCACCTCTAAACGAAGCATGTTCAGACAAATTATTAGATCGCTGCTCGAAACCTAGTATTAACCGTGTGATACCCAAACTGAGTATAATTCCCAGTAATATGGACTTCTGCCAGGTAACATCTAGTTCAATAAAATATTTTTTTTATTTTACCACTAACGGATTCCATTACACCTTAAATAAATACATTATAATACCATACATCTCCAATGATGCGTTCCAATCGAACACATTGGAAACATTCGTTCAAAAGGCAGACTAATGCAATTTAACCATGCATAGAAGCAAGTGCGCAGTGCATCATTCAACCCCCATTTTCTGTCTCGCTCTGTTCACACTTGCTGCATTAGACGTCTCTCTCTTTAAACGCAAACACCCCATCGTGCTCCATCGTGTTTCCAATTTGGATCAAGCGTCGTCATAGCAACCGCCCAAAACAACGATATTTGGCAAATGCGTCCAATATTTGTTGATCCCCTATACCTCTCTCATCGACTAGACAAAGTTCCATCTATGAAGGACTGCGTATCTATTTGGTAGGTCAAAGGAAACTGGTCTAATCTTGGTAAAACGCAAAATTAACAAGGCCTCTCTATCAAAGGAAATAAAACGTTAAATAGGGGGATTAAAGTGTAATTTGGATTAATTAATGATGTAAGGTGCGACCAATAGTTTTGCCAGCTTTGGGAGGGCTACCGAATTTATTGATACCGACTTCTTGTGGGGAAGAACCAAATGTTTATTTTGTACCTCTAATTGTTATGGACCGTAGTTTAAGGAAGTGACATTTAATTAAGAATTCGTTACATATCAATTTACTGCTTTCCCTTTGTGCAAGACTTCAACGTGGAAATGAGGTAAACGAAGAAGTAATTACTATAGTTTTATTGACTAACTTTCTTGTCTGTTAGTTTTCTCTATGCTATAGACACAAAGTTTTTCCTTGCAGGTTTTTACTTTGTTATACCAAGAAAGAAGTGAATATCATATTTGACAGAAAATTATGCAACTTCGTTCACACATAATCCTCCATCTAATATTTAAAAAATCTTGCTTAAAAAATTTATTACAAAACCAATAACAGAAAATAGTTTTTAAAATAAGAAAAAAAAAAAAGAATTAAGAAAGATCTTTGAGACAAAACCAATTATTTATATATTTCAGTACATATCACGTAAAAATTATTGCACCAAATTGGATACGATTTCTTAATTATCTTCCTAAAGATCGAATTCTGGTGTTTGTTGTATTTTGAAACGTCATCTAACAGTGGCCTATCTGATTGGTTTT